GGCTACACGCCCAAATGGGGGTCCAATGTAGTGATGATCGTTCCCAACAGCGACGAAGGGGGAAGCCACTAAGCGCATAGCTGGCTTCAAGAGATGGGGCACGTGGAGGGGCCGCGGCCAGCGTCCTCTGCGTCCCAGCCCGCATTCGGCACGGGCAAAGTGCCTGGGTAAAGCATGAGGAGGAGCGGCGGGGAAACGCCTTCAGCGAGTCGACCCTGTTCTCCACGGGCCGGCAACGCGGCCAAAACCGTCGGTGGGATTATTTCAGCCGACCGCACGGGCTATGGGCCCACGAAGCACGTGGTTCTTTTGTTTTCATAAGTCGTCGTCGGAAGGGACCGCCAGGTCCACACCGCCTGGCCCTCCCTCTTCTCCCACGATGCTGCCACTGCCGCTCCCACCTCTCCCAACGTCTCGCTGAGCCGGGCCGGGGTCAGCTGCGACTGCCCCCGCCCGTCCGCTGTCGCCGCCACTGCCGCCACTGCATACACCCCCACCGTCTCGCAGCACAGCGCCAGCGCTGGCTGCCTCCGCCCCTTCTCGCAGGCGCTGATCCGGGTGCTGCAGCGGCTGGTGGGCGCCACCTTCGGGAGGATGATGGGTTCCAACTTCACTCCCAGCATCTCGCTGAGCAGCGCCAGAGCTGGCTGCCACTGCCCCTTCTCGCAGGCGCTGATCCCAGCGCTGTAGCGGGTGATTGGCTTTTGCCGCCCTCCCGACATCTCGCAGAGCGGCGCCAGAGCTGGCTGCCGCTGCCCCTTCTCGCAGACGCCGATCCGGGCGCTGTGTCCCAGCATTTCGCAAAGCAGCGCCAGAGCTGGCTGCCACTGCCCCTTCTCGTAGGCGCTGGCCCCGGTGCTGTAGCGGATGAGGGGCTCCAGCTTCACTCCCATCATCTCGCATAGCAGCGTCAGACCTGACTGCCACTGCCCCTTCTCGCAGGCGCCGGCCCGGGCGCTGTGGCCGATGATGGTGGGCTCCAGCATTGCTCCCATCATCTCGCAGAGCAGCGCCAGAGCTGGCTGCCACTGCCCCTTCTCGCAGGCGCTGATCCGGGCGCTGTGGCCGACGGTGGTGGGTTCCAGCATCACTCCCAACATCGCGCAGAGCAGCGCCAGACCAAGCTGCCTCTGCCCCTTCTCGCAAGTGTTGACCCGGGCGCTGTAGCCGATGACGATGGGTTCCAGCATCACCCCCAACATCTCGCGCAGCAGCGCCGGAGCCAGTTGCCACTGCCGGCCCTCGCTCGGGCGCGCCCGGCCGCGGCAACGAAGCAAAAGGACGAGAGGGGAGAGGGGCGAGGGAATCGGGAGAAGGGCTGAAAACTTCACTCGCAGCAAATCGCAGAGCAGCGCCAGAGCTGGCTGCCACTGCGCTTTCTCGCAGGCGCCAATCCGGGCGCTGTAGCCGATGATGGTGGGCTCCAGAAGTCGCCCAACTTCTCGCAGAGCCGCGCCAGAGCTGGCTGCCGCTGCCCGTTCTCGCAGGCGCTGATCCGGTCGCTGCGGCGGTCGATGGTGGTGGGCCCCAGCATCGCCCCCAACATCTCGCACAGCAGCGCCGCAGCCAGCTGCCACTGCCGGCCCTCGCTCGGGCGCGCCCGGCCGCGGCAGCGAGGCAGGAGGGCGAGAGGGGAGAGGAACGTGGGGGGCGGGAGAAGGGTTGGAGACTACACTCCCAACGTTTCGCCGAGCAGCGCCAGAGCTGGCTGCCACTGCCCCTTCTCGCAGGCGCCGGCCCGGGCGCTGTAGCCGATGATGGTGGGCTCCAGCATTGCTCCCATCATCTCGCAGAGCAGCGCCAGAGCTGGCTGCCACTGCCCCTTCTCGCAGGCGCTGACCCGGGCGCTGTGGCCGACGGTGGTGGGTTCCAGCATCGCTCCCAACATCGCGCAGAGCAGCGCCAGACCAAGCTGCCTCTGCCCCTACTCGCAAGCGTTGATCCGGGCGCTGTAGCCGATGACGGTGGGTTCCAGCATCACCCCCAACATCTCGCACAGCAGCGCAGGAGCCAGTTGCCACTGCCGGCCCTCGCTCGGGCGCGCCCGGCCGCGGCAGCGAAGCAAAAGGACGAGAGGGGAGAGGGGCGTGGGAATCGGGAGACGGGTTGGAAACTTCACTCGCAGCAAATCGCAGAGCAGCGCCAGAGCTGGCTGCCACTGCGCTTTTTCGCAGGCGCCAATCCGGGCGCTGTAGCCGATGATGGTGGGCTCCAGCATTGCTCCCAACATCTCGCAGAGCAGCGCCAGAGCTGGCTGCCGCTGCCCCTTGTCGCAGGAGTTGGTCCGGGTGCTGAGGCGGTTGAGGGGGTCCAGCATCGCCCCCCGCGTCTCGCGGAGCAGCGCCCGAGCTGGCTGCCACTGTCCCTCCTCGCAGGCGCTGGCCTGGGTGCTGTAGCGGATTATACTGGGCCCCAGCATCGCCACCCGCATCTCGTTGAGCTGCCACTGGGCCGGCTGCCGCTGCTCGCACTTCTCGCGCGCGAGGCCGGGCTCCAGCATCGCCCCCCGCATCTCGCTGAGCAGCCACTGGGCCGGCTGCCACCGTTACCGCTGCCGCCCCTCCCCTCCGCGCCTCCCACCACGCTGCCATTGCAGCCGCTGCCGCCCCTCCTCCACTCCTCCCCGCTGCCACGGCCGCCCCTCCCACCATGTTGCCATGGTCTCCGTCCACGCCTATACCGTCGCCCCTTCCTCCTCCTCCTCTGCTGCCACTGCCGCCCCTCCCAACTCCTCCAGCTCCTCCTATGTCGCAGCTGCCGCCCCCCCCCCCCCCCCCCCCCCCCCCCCCTCGCTGCTGACAGCGCGCTCCTGCCCCCCAGCTACGCTGCCACAGCCGCCCGCCACAGCGCCGCCACTGCCGCCCACCGTCGTGACGCCACTGCCGTCTGCCCTGGCGATCAGGACTGCCATCCCTGTCCTGCCACATGCGATGCACGCCGCGTATCTCCCCGGCCGCCGTCGCGGCCACGACATGAGGTCAGCGTCTGCCCCCACACACTGGAAGCGCGTCCACGCGCCAGTGCCGTCTCTTCCCGCCCCCCCTCTTGCCCCCGTCGTGCCCCTCCCCGCGCCGCCACTGCCGCCCTGCCCAACTCAACCCACCATGTCTCCTCCTGTGAGATATACGCTGTAAATCTTGTGTGTATGCTATGTTGCAGTGTGCAGACAGTGCAGAGCAAGGCTGTAGCATAGCGGGTGTACCATTGCACTTTGGCCCGAACCTTTTCAGGGCCCTCGAGTCAGACCGAGCACGCCGTGAAAACGTCTCAGATGTTTTCTGGTTTCTGATTCTCGTTGCCATCAAAGACTTCGTGGGCTTTGATAATTTCATATTGGTAGCGGAGCCTGTCGATCGTTCGGTTGTTGCGTTCGGTCGCACCACTACCTTGGAGCCTACCTTTGTTAGAGAAATTCGAATCATGAAAAAATGAATTAAGTATCTGGAAAATTAAATTATCAGAAACTGGACAATTCGAATAATTCACTAAATCAATAAATAATTCATTAAATCCATCTCCTGTGGGCGGCAACGCGCAGGACAGCATCGCGATTACCTTCACGCCATGGATCAGATATGGCACAACCTTCAACAAACGAAGCCTGATCTCACCATGCACACGGGCCCACACGGGAAAGTGCGATGCAGAAACAATGTCGGCCCTGAAATTCGCACCGCAGCCGTCTACAACCACAAACCTTCGAAACGCAGGAATCGATTTCTGACAAAATCGCAAGCCATGCCTCCGACGCCTTCATGACAAGACACAACAGGATAATCAAGGCCGCATGAGAGAACATCCGACGTCAGCAAAAGCCCCGAGGAGAGCAAGAGCCAGACTTCCACCAGCGAGTAGGACGGTTCTTTTTTTTTCATTTTCTCTGATCTCTCTCGCACCCTAGTTGTAACGCGGCACAGTCCCTCGGCAGCTCATCAAAGAGGAGGCGTCGAATCGCCGCCGAGGGGAAAACAGCCGCCTGCTGTGAGGCGCAAGCCCTCCTTGCCCCCTATGTTACACATCCTTGTCTCGCACGCGCCTCCCATCGTCCTCATCCTGTCAATCCTCCTACATCCCCTCCTGATCCTCCTCAGATCCTCCTCCTCCTCCTCCTCCTCCTCCTGCTTATCCTTAGGTGGCCCCCTCCCCCTCATCATCCCGTTCCTCTTCCTTCTCCTCCTCCTCCACGCCATGCCCCTCCTCCTCTTGCTCCTCCTTCTCCAAACCCCATCCAAATCCCCTCCTCCGACCCTCTTCCTCTTCCACCTCTTCCCCGAGGAGGGGGAAGAGAAAGGGGGGGGGGGGGAGGGGGAAGAGGATGACGAGGAGGAGGAGGAGGAAATGGAGGAGGAGGAGGAACCTCCTCCTCATCCTCTTCCCCCACCTCGCCCTGGGGCCTGCGCAGGCGCCGCGCGCCCTGCATCTCGCCTGGAGGCCTAGCGGCGGGCCTTGCGCGCAGCCATGCGCTCGGCGAGGCTGCGCTTCTTGAACGCAGGCGCCGCGTCTGGCGACTGCTGCTTGTCCTCTGGGGACTCCCTCAGCCCGGGGAGCGGCGGCTTCGCCATCCTCCCCGCGAACCCCCTGCGACTCGAAGAGGAAGAAGCCGCCGCAGTCGGATCAGGTGCCTGCCCCTGCGGGAAGGGGCGCGAGAGCCCGGGAGGCCAAGGACCAAGGGGGGCATCCGAACATTCATTCAGAGGGACCCTACCGGAGGAGCGAAGGGGATGCAAGGCTGAGGAGGGAGAGGAGCGCGGGGGCGGACGGAGTCTGGATGACGCCCATCGGGTCAGTGACCCCCAACCTAGACGACTCGGGGCTGGGGAAATCGACGTCGCCGCCGAGGGGACGATGACGAGAGCGCCACAGCAATCCCATGGATAACAGTCCGAGTTGTCTTGAGTCTCCCCCTCCTCCTTCTCCTCCTCCTCCTCCTCCTTCACATCCCCCCCCCTCCTCCTCCTCCTCCTCATCTCTCTCCTCTTCCTCCTCCCTCCCCCCACCAATCATCCCGTTTGTCGTCTGGGATCCTCGAAGAGCTCGGCGTCAAGCTTATCGATATCCTCCTTGTTGGCCTCCTCCTCCTGGTCTTTCTCGCGGTCGAGGTACAACCCGGCGGCCCATGAGGACAACAATTCGTCGATCTCCTCGGACGGTGACCATCCAGACTTCGCGATGTCCTTGCGAAGGGACGCCACCGAAACTTCCCTGGCCACTCTCGCTGGGTGGCTGAAAGCGCCGCGGCAAGCGCCACTGTGGCGAGGGCGTTGTCGGCAGCAGCTGAGGCCCGCTGAACCACCTCAAGACTGGCCACAGTGAACGTCTTGTTGAAGCCCAACACCACCTTCATCACGCCCTTCAGGATCATGGAGACGGAAGTCATGGCGGCGTGGTCAGCGCCAATCACAGCATCCATCTGATCGGTGTTCCCCAGAATGGCCGTGCTGGAATGCACTGGGACCTCGGCTTCAAGGTTGCCCGCCATCGACAGGAGATCTTGCTCGACGGCTGCCTTGTAGAAAGCCTTCAAGTCCAAGATGTCCTTCTCGAAAGACTGCATGATGCACTCATGGTTCAGGCGCTTGTCGAAGGTCCCGATGTGGAAACGAAGCGAGCCACCCTTGTCGGCCTTCAAGTCCGACGACACCTGAAGCGGAAGCCGAACACGCTCGGCAATGCGAATCACACCTGCCACCGCCAAGCTCGCCGCCAAGCCGCAGCCCCAGGGGACTTTGGAGGCTCGGCCGCTGGCTGAACAGAGGCAGATGAGGTTCGGCACTGGGCGAGCTCAGCCCCGTGAACCAGCGTCGCGAGGTCGATCCTCTGCAGGCTGTCCCAGCGGGCGTTCAACTCCTTCCACTGAGCCACCGCGGAGCTTTCCAAGAGCAAGTCCTTGAAGGTCTTGGCCGCTGCGCGCACGTGCTTATACTTCGCCAATGTAGCCACCGCTTGGAACGTCTGGCTGGCCGAGACGGCGAAGGACAGCTGGCGATGCAACGTCTCGTCGCCGATGTCCAAGGCAAACTGGAGCCCATCCGCGATGATGTTCACCGGGTGCTTCGCCTCCGCGACGGCTGAGACTCCGCCCTCGTCAAGATCGTTCCATGACCACGGCTTCTCACAGCACGCAGCGCCGAGAACAAGGAGCACGTGGTCGAGGATGGGCATGAGGATGGGGCCGCTCATCTCAATTGCAACCGTCGTCATCTCCTGCATGCGCTCGCCTGCAGAGCCCAGCACGGGCGACGCCAGCAGGGCCAGCGGAGCCTCTGGGTCGGCGAAGAACTGCACTGCATCCTTGTGGATCGGTTTCAAGTTGGTCGCGATGATTGACAGGACAGACTTGTAGTCAGCTGGTGTAGCATTGCTCGCGGCCCCCGAGCTCGAGAGCGAATGCCAACGGCTCAAGGCCTCCCCGATGCTGCACAACTGCTGGATGGCATTGGTCTTGGCCTCAATCATCGGGATATGCTTTTTGTGTTTGGCCGTTGCCTCGGTGTACTTCTCAAGCAAGCGGCGGCGGTCCCCGGTGTCCTCGACCCACTTGGCAAGCGAAGCCCCTGTCGTTGTATTGACCAGGATCGGGGACAGCACGGTAGCCCAACCCTGAATGAGAAAGTCGATCCACTTGGTCATCGCCGTCACGATCTTGGAGTCATTATTGTTGGGAACGCAAGCGGGAATGCAATGGGACAGCGAGGCGAGAGACTCCACGACTGCCTTGGCCGAATCAACGGCCCCATCCAGCCAATGTAGATCACGCGAAAAAACGTCTGGCAGGCACTGCGTCACGCTGGCGTTGAGGACAGCGATCTTCTCGTTGACGGGCTCGATGGCTGAAACAATGGCCTTGGCCTTCTCCAGCAGCTCCTTGGCCTCGCGGAAGATCAACTGCCCAGGGTTCCACATGTTTAGCGCAGTCCCCAACTGCGTCCCAGCCTGTTTCTTCGCAGGGAGCGCACCCTCAATAATCACAATGGCGTCGCTCAGGTGCTCCACCACGTCGGCCACAGAGGGGTACGTGACATTCTTGGCGCTGTAGATCACCTGGAACGCAGCCCACCACTCGGAGACTTCATCTTCGAAATCGTAGTCGAAATCCTCGTCGTCAGCCGTCAGAGCGGCCAACGCGGCCGCGCGCTTGTCCTCAGTCTTGATGCGGAGAGCATGCGAAAGGCGGTCCGCGAAGAGCTGCTGCTGCTCTTCGCAGATGGCGGCAGGAGCGAGTCCGACTGCACGCAAGGCCCGGGTAGAGATGAGCGTGAAAAACTGTTTGGCATCAGTTGCCTTTACCACGCCCAGCTTCTTCCGCATCCAGCAAAGGTGAGGCGGGATATCCAACGTCGTCGCGGGATCGAGCGCCAAGGTAATAACGGCGAGGTCGTGCCTCGTAGGGGGGCTTACGCCGGGGACCCAAGACAACGCCAAGAACGCATCGCAGATGGCCACCAGAGAGGACCCGCCCGCCCACCCCCCATCCCCGCTCTCCCAGGCAAGGACGAGCGAGAGAGGGCAGGGCGGCATCTCTTCGTAACATCTCGATGCCATCTTCGAGGAATGCTGGGACCAACTCGGAGCCCGTCGACTGAGAGGTTTGCTAAGGTCTGAAGCCCCCTGGAACGTTTCAGAGGAAGCGAATTCGCCCGCCAGAACGGATGTCTGCGCAAGCGCGCACCCTCTCGCACCCCTCCAAGGACCCTTCCTGGGAAGCTCTGCAGAGCCGGGATTGGCGGGCGAGCGAGACAGATCGGGGAAGCGCGGCGAGGGGGGGGCACGGCGGCGCCAGAAAGGCCCACGGGTAGCCGACGCGGTCAAGTGTCCGAGCCCCCACGAACCACGAACAACAATGAGCACGCCCTCAAAATCTACCTCACATCGCTTCCACTACGCTACCCCCAGGGGGATCCCTAATAGAGTAAGCTCTAAAGAATCCCGTTGGAAACGCCCCGCAGGATCACCCAGTCAGACCTTCTGACGCGCTCCTGCAGGGCATTTGCAAGGGCCTCGCTCGGAGCCCTTTCGGAGCTGTCCTGGATGCTCTCTCGGGGCTTTGGGCTCCAAGGGTTCCAAAAGTTACAAGACAGCCGCGATGCTCCAGGATCCAGGAACGGAAAGAGAGAGGCCCGCATGAGCCCCCTATCGGAGGGCCCTGGGGAGAGGCACCCTTTCCTTGCTAACCCCCTGCTCCCCCTCCAACGACGCTGGATTCGGACCCGATCCCACTTGGTCTTCATCTCCTCGGATGGCAAAGCGGCAAGCCCCAGGAAGTCGTTGATCACAGCAAGCTTCTTCTCGCTGATCTTGCACAGGCGATGCTCGTCGGGGTCCTCGAGGGTGCGCAGCTTCGAAGAGAAGTCTGTCAGCAATGCGAGGTTGAGCTTGATCTGGGCATCCTGCTCGCTCCCCCACATGAGAGCGTCGTCGGAGCCTGCACTGAAGAAGCGGGACTCCAACTCGGACACCTCCATCAGAAGGTTCTTCACAGGCGGCCGACCTCGCTTCTTGGCGCCTGGCTTTGCGGACGCGGTGGCGCCACTCGAGCCGCTCGACTCGCCGCCGCTGCCGGAAGCTGATGCGCCGCCAGTTCCTCGCCCGCGGCGCTTGGCCCCACCAGCTGCCTGTTCCGCCGCCGCTGGCGCGGGGTCGGCAGTCGGCGGGCGCGACGCAGCAGGGCCTGCAAGCGGCGGCGGCGCGTCGCTGCGGCCAGCGGCGGCAGCAGGAGGCACGCCGATGACCTGGTCGATGGCGCCAGTGATGTTGAGAGAGGCGAGCGAACCCGGGAACAGCATCTCGAAAACTTGCGCCTGCTTCTGCGAGATTGACTCTACGGAGCCAGAGCCCAAGTTGACCGTCCTGACCGACTGGTGGCGCTCGACCTTCCCGTAGTGGGTGCAGTCCACGTCTGGGACCCAGACGCCCTCAAGTCCGTTCTCGTCCTCGCCCAGGTAGTGCCCTTCCGTCTGGGCCAAGCCATTCGTAGCGAAGTCGCCCTTGGTCCTCTGGTAGCTCGCCATCGGGTAGAACGTTTTCCCAAGGCCTGTCTTCACGGCTTCCTTGATGACGACCTCTTGAAGCACGCAGTCGTGCACCTCGTCGTAGTCCAGGTGAGCAGTGCGCTTCGCACCCGACTCAATCATGGACGCAATCATTTTGTCGATGATCACGCCGAAGACCTTGACGCGTTCTGGCCCAGCTCCAAGAACGCCCTTGAACTTCGCGTAGGTCATCCCTGGGAGCTGCCTGACGTCGCCGTTGAACCACCTCGTGCAGCACCCGCACACGGTCCCCTGGGTGCACCCCCGCGCGTCGGCCTTGCGGCCCCAATACATGAAGACGCGCTTGCCCGCCGCCAGGTCGATCGGGTCGAGGTCGTTGTCGCGACGCGGGCAAGTGTCGCATTTGCGGCCGTCTGGCCTCTGGGGAGGAAGTCGAAAGTCGCACTACGTTGAGTCGGCTGGCCCCACCCCACGCACTGAAGTAAGGAGATGAGTCGTTCGGGCCCCTCTGCCGCAGCTGAAGTCGCCCGAGTCCGTCCTTCGGCAGACAGAGGGGCCCGAACGACTCATCTCCTTGACTTGCGATGCCCTCGAAATTCGTGGAGGTGGCGCGACGCCAGACATCATAGTCAAGGGCGTGGGCCAGGACAAGACAAGAAGACGGCAGAGAGCAACCATGCTGCTAGCATCGGACCGAGCCCAGGAAACCGCACAAAGGCCCAGGGCTCGCAGAAGACAGATCGGCCCGAAAGGGCGGGAACCATTTTTGGGTCACAGGAAGAAAGGATTGACCATGTCAAATCCTGCCCGCAGAAGACAGATCGGCCCGAAAAGGCGGGAACGTTTTTTGGGTCACAGGGAGAGAGGATTGACCGTGTCAAATCCTATCCGACCGATGAGCGCATTCGCCAGAAGGCCAAGTTGAAGGAGGGCCATGTACCGAAGGCCAGGAAGCAGCACGTGGAGGACCCTCACGATGACTGCGGCACAGACCTCTCTGGCCTGGAACCCTACTTACTTGGACTTCATGCCCTCGGCGATTGCGACGGCCCCGAGTACGACGAAGGGCTCCAAGCGGGCACCAAGAAAGCTCCAGGAGTACTCCAAGAGCCCCCCAAGAGCCCCCCAAGAGGGCCCAAGACGGCTCCAAGAAGGCCCCAAGAGGGCCTTGGGGAGGGGCAAAGATACCTCCCAGAAAAGCCCCTCCTCCTCCTCCTCCTCCCTCCTCCTCCTCCTCCTCCTCCTCCTCCTCCTCCTTGCCTTCCTCGTCCTCGCCCTCCTCCTGCTGCTCCTCCTCCTCCTCCTCCTCCTCCCAGCCTGAGCACCGCCATGACGTCGGAACCTCCAACGCCGCTGCGGCTGCCGCCGGTGCGAGAGCGACGATCAGCGCCGCCGCTCAACGCCCCCTGCATGTCCTGGAGGTGCTTCGAGGCCGCCGCCATCGCGACAGGTCGTCGGTCGGGCGGTCGAGAAGATGGAAGCCGAGGGCGTGGGCGCGCAAGGCTTCGGGACTGAAGAGCTTGACTCGTTGGTTAGCAGCTGCGAGATTGGAACGGGAGGCCCAGGTCGGGAGTTTGCTCCAGGGGGGGGGGGGATAACGCGGCCAGCTTGCCAAAGTCAACAGGGCGAACGCTGCCGGCGGTCTAGGGAGTGGGCAGGAAGAACAGGAGCGGGAGGACAGGGGCGGGGAAGGCGAAGCAGCAGGTGGGGAAGGAGGGAGGAGGAACAGAGGCAGGAGAGGGAGTCGAAGGGAGAGAAGGGGAGGGAAGCGGAGTAAAGGGAACGGTGGGCATCACTTGGGCCCACGAGGGCCAAGGCTAATCTCGGCCAGAACCTGACGTCAAGTTTCGGGCCCGAAACAACGAACGGCGCAAATAACGGAGTGGAACATCTACTTTTTGGGGGCCCCCACCCAGGACCTTGATGATCCTCTGGCTCTTGAAAAGCCAGCTTGAATCTTTGACCGATGGGATCGTTGAAATCGCTGCACCGATGGGGAGAAAGCTGCAAAGCCCCGACCCTCCGTCGCCGTCGCCGCTGCCGCTGCCGTCAGCCGTTGCCACCCTGGTCATCGCCCTGCCCCTCCCTCTTCATGAACGCGCCCGCGCTGGCGGCCGCAATGACAACGCGCGGCAGACGAATCTGCGCGCGGCCAAGCTAGCGAGGGCGCGCCATGAACAGGGAAAGAGCCACGATGCCGAGACGGAGCGCCCCCTGAAGTCTTTCCAGGGCTTGCATCTACTATTGATTCTAAGCTTCAGCGAAGAGGGGGGCGTCACACCACCTAGCTCGGCCCTCCAAGCCAGAGCCAGCCTCGCGCGCGCCGTCCCCGACGCCAGCGCCGAGCCCCTGAGACCCATGATGAACAAGAGGGGCGGGCCTGTCACCCTAGCGTGGTCGGCATGGTCTCTATATCCACCGCCTGTGATTCGCAGCGAGCGCTGGGAGGGGGCTGGGATGGTGAATCTAGAAGTCGCTGTTTCGAATCACAGACTCACGGTGCTACCAACCACCCAGGCCCGCGCCTATTCGCTAGCAGGAAGACGAGGGAGATGGAGGTACTCTGATGGGGGGCAGAAGACCCTGGTGACTCGAGGACCCTTCTCGGCCCTTCGGGCCTTCTAGTCTTCTCGCGGCCCCCAGGGCCCCAGCTGTAACCGACGAGTTCCCTGCGCAGGGCCGACGGGGCAGAGTTGGGAGGGCGTTGGAGGCGAGGAGTAGGAGGGGGAGGAGAAGGAAGAGGAGGAAAAGAAGAAGAAGGAGAAGGAGGAGGAGGAGGAGGAGAACTGAAGGACGAGAAGGATGCTGAGGAGGAGGCTGAGGAGGAGGACGAGGGGGCGGCCCCCAGGCTGACGCGCCCTCAGTCTGAGCTCGCGCTTACCGAACAAGGACGCTGACAGCTCATGGCGGTGTCAATCTCCATGTCCATGAGCTCCTCGATGTCCTCCTCGATGGACTGGTCGGCATGCGATCCGAACTTGCCGATAGTCGCGAGCTGCGCGAGGAGAAACGGGATGATGTGCCACGCGCAGTAGCCGTTCCCAGTCATTTCCATCAGCAACTCGCTGTACCTCTTATGGTTGGTGGTGGCCACCTCGGCGTCGATCCGACTGATTCCTGCCGGCCAGCATTCGTCTCCCCAGCCGATGAGCCTCATGCACTCGAAGCCCTCCATGAGGCGCACCCTCCTAGGAGAGCGCGTGCGCACCAAGAAGCGCGCCGTCCCGGTGAGCGTCGGCACGATGGACTTCCACGGCGTCGCGTTCTTGTCCTTCAGCTTGCCGTTCTCGCCCAGAAGCGGGCCGACGGACCGCAGGAGCTGCATGTTCACATCCACGAACTCCAAGTCCGCCTTCGGCTGGAACGCTGTACCGAGGAAGCCCGCCGCATCACGTTCCCGTGGGAGAAGCCCCCCCCAAGTCGACGTGCTTCATGGTGTCAGCCGTCGCGGGCCAGGCCAAGCCCCAACTTGAGAAGTAGAAGTGATGCGATACTTTCCAATCGAGCTATTTCTTGGCGGTGTCCTTCGCCCCGTCCTGCTGGTGCGTGCGCATGCCGAGTGCTTCGGCCTGCGCAGTCCTCTCGATGGGGTCAGCAGTGATGAAGTCAGTGATCTTCGCCGCAGACGCATGACGGAAAGCGTTGAGACACTGCATGAAGAACGAAGAAATGACATCGTGATTTCCCACCAGGTTCTTGGCCCCCCCCCCACCAGAGCCTCTGTCGTTCACACGGTGCCCCGAAGTCGCGGGCGTCCATCATGAGGGAGTGCATCCAGCACCCCTTCTCACGCAGCTTCATGTTCATCCATTCCATGTCGCTCATGCCTCCAGCGGGCTTGCTAGCCAACTGCTTAATATTTTCCAATGTAATGACGAGAGGCTTGCGAGCATCGACCGTTCGCTCGACCGCTTGAAAGCCTTCTCCAGTGGTACCAGTACCTTGTTGAACACAGCCCAGGTTGCTGGAAGCGGCCGCATTGAGAGGACTGCGAGACTTGCAAGGGAACCCCGCATCTAGCCATACAACCTTTATCAGACTTCCCAAAAAAAGGTCGTAGTAAAAGGGGCCAGGGGGTCGCACCGCATCGCTGATGCATCTATTACGCAGTTCGAGGTGTATCCCCAATATCGATGCATCGCCGACAAGTACAAGTCACCGTCGCGATGCATCGGCGAAGCAACGTGGACCCTGGATCTGAGCTACATGACCCCAATCCCTTTTTTAGATAGCATCACCTCTGGGAGGTGCTGCGTGCGGACATGCTCGGGATCGACGACGTTGCGGACGCTGTCTCCTTCATGAAGCTCCTCCATCCTCTCCGTTGCGAAAGTGGGCTGGGTCTCTGCAATGACGTGCTCGCGATTCCTGCGGTCGAGCTCCGCGATCAAAACGGTATCGAAACAAATGTCGACACCGTACTGGTTCCGAAGAACCCCGCTGATCGCGCCCATGCAGTGGTGCATGATGCCCGTTCCAGCGCACAGACTCCACACAGGCACTTTGTTGAGGCCCAGCACTGAGGGGACGTTGGCGATGGCATGTAAGAACACAGACTCCTGAGAATCAGACATCTTCGAAAGATACTTCACAACCAAGAACTCCAACTTACTCTCCGGAACCCAGGATGGCTGAGGTTTCAGACGGCGAGGAGTAATGAGGTCGGACTTCGCGAGGGACTTGGCGCTGCGACTCCCCCTGGCGCGGCTGTCCTTCCAGAGGGCGGCTGCGCAATAACAAGCCCACGACGGTGGCAAGTGTTGCCCTTCCAGGATGTCAAAGCCCCGGGCCCCCCAGGACCTCTGAATTCTGCGATTTTCAAAGCCTCCGAAAATCAATCAAATTCAATTCCGAACGGCCTGAAAATAATTAAATCGAATAAAAAAACCAAAATCGCAGAAAATCCCGGGGCGCTGCGATTATAATTTCCCGTCGAGGCGGGAAATTAAAATCGCAGCGGGCGAAAATCGCAGAAAGTCCCGGGAGGAATTTCGAATTAGCAGATTTTTAATGATTCCGAAATTCCCAGGGCTGATTTTGGATCTCTGGAAATGAACATCAGAGAGGGAGGAGGAGGAGGAAGAGGAGGAGGAAGAGGAGGAGGAGGAAGAGGAGGAGGTGGAGGAGGAGGAGGAGGAGGAGGGGGGGGGGGAGGAGGAGGCAGACGGAGGAGGAGGAGGAGGAGGAGGAGCCCAGGGGGAAGGAGGAGGGGCTTTTCTGCGAGGCATCGTTGCCCCTCCCCAAGGCCCTCTTGGGGCCTTCTTGGCGCCGTCTTGGGCCCTCTTGGGGGGCTCTTGGAGCCCTCTTGGTGCCCTCTTGGAGCCCCGAGAGGAGCCCCAAGAGAGCTACAAAGAATACCACCGCAGGAGTCCACGGACGCCCCCCCCTGGGGGAGTCCACGGGCCCCTAGGGGGGGGTGGATCCGTGGGCTCCGCAGGGTGGCTTTTCTGGGAGGTATCTTTGCCCCTCCCCAAGGCCCTCTCGGGGCTTTCTCGGAGCCGTCTCGGGCCCGCTTGCAGCCTTCTTGGGGGGCTCTCGGGGGGCATTTGTGACCCGAGGAAACAAACGAGCAAGACAACTGCAACAGTTGCCTTGCTTGCTGAGGAGGAGGAGGTGAAGGAGGAGGAGGAGGAGGAGAGTCAAAATAGCTCCTCATCACCCGCCTTCGCCTCCTCATCCTCGGGGATCGTCGACAGCGCGGACATCATGCTGCCGGCGAAGCCGAGCATGTCCCTGGCGCTGCGCCCGCTCGTCGAGACGAGCTGGCCCACGGAGAGCTGGGGGCGCTCAGCCTGGGGCCAACAGGAACGTTTGCTATGCAACTTCCTAACGACCCAACTCCTTCTTCCCCTTCTCCTCATCCTGTCCTCCACCTCCTCTTGCTCCTCCTCCTCCTCCTCCTCCTCCTCCCCCGCCTCCTGCCCCTCCTGCTCCTTCATCATCCTGCTCCTCCTGCCGTCCGCCTTCCTCCTTGGATGCCGGGGAGCAGCGGTGATCCCGATTGGAAGTCTCGCAGCCTGCGCAGCTGCGGCGGCCGCGGCCAACGCCGCAAGGGAGGCTGGCGCGCTCGCGTCCGCCAAGTCCTGAGCGTCGCTCTTCTCGCGCTCCACGGGCGGCTGCTTGGCGTGCGCCATCTGCTCAGCGTTGCCCTCCTCGCACTCCATGGGTGCTGCTGACGGCGGCATGTCGCCTCCCTCAGAAGCAGGGTCGCACTCCATGGGCGACGCCAGGGGCAGCTGGTCGGGCGCCAAGGACGCGTGGCCTTGCCCGACCGCCACGCGCTGCGGCTCAGTGCCCTCATCGCGCGCCATTGGCGCCGTTGGAAGCGGCTGATCGCCTGTCTCCTCGACGGCTTCGCCAGAGCCCACCGCGGCCGCGCCTGCGAAGGGGAGCGTGTCAGCGTCCAAGTCAATGGGTTCCTCACTCATCGGCTCTCCTGACTCGGCGGCAGCAGCATGCGGTTTGCCCTGGCCGCTGGCGGTGGCATCAACCCCGTCGTCGAAGGTCTGGCTGTCGAAGGAAAGCGCAACGGCTTCCGAAGCCGCGGCCGCATCAGCAGCGTCTGGCGTTGGTGGCGCGATGTCTGCTGCGGTGGGCGTGGCCGTGCCATCGCACAACGGCGCTGGCCACTCAGGCGTAGCGGCCGCGGCGCCCGCGCCGCTGGCATCGTGGGAGTGGTCGGCCGATAGCACGCTCTCAGGGAGTGAGAACGACGGCGGCGGTGGCCCATCGAGGAGCTGCTTCCCAGGGGCGGGTCTGATCTCATCAGGTGCACCAGACGGCATGGGCGACGCCGCCAGGTCATCGGGCGCAGACGGGCGGGGTGCCTTTGATGGCGCCCGCGACAGCGCCATCATCAAAGTTATCTGCTCAGCGCCGCCTCTGCGGCGGAGCCGCCTCGCCTCTTCCTCCTTCGACAAGGGGGCTGGGCGCTTAGAAGCAGCCGCCGCGGCCGTCGCCACCGCCGTTGAGGCATGCGGCGCTTGCGAGGCCTTCGACTGCTGCGAGACAGCGGAGCCCTTCTGGTCCTTGAGCTCCTGGGCTTTGACCGCAGCCTGGTCCTTGGGCTCCTTCGGTGCCTTGGACTCTGTCTTGGGCGCCGCCTTGGCCGCGGGGCCCTTCGAGTCTTCGGACTCCTTCTGGCCCTTGGGCTGCTTCTCGCCCTTGGGTTCTTTATCGCCCTTGCGCTCCTTCTTCTGCGCCTTGGGCTCCTTCTGGTCTGAAGCATCCTTTTCAGCCTTGGGCGTCTTGTCGGCCTTGGCCGCCTTGGCCTCCTTCGGCGCCTTCTCCTTCTGGCCCCTGGGCCCCGTCCCCGGATCGGCCGCCCCGGGCGCTCGAGCGCGCACGATCTGAGACAAGGGCATGTTGTCATCCATCGGAGCGCCCTTCACGTTGGATGCCATGGCTGGCCAACCAATTCTCGTGGGAGCTGAGGTGCACGTGGGCGGCGCAATGCCAAAACACGAACTCCTGAGCTGAGCCTGATGAGCTCAGGATCGGTAGAGACGACCCCATCCTCTCAACGGATCGGCGGGGGGCGAGGGCGGGTAGAGGGGGGCGGCGGTTGGGGCCGCTTCAGGTATCCCACGGCATTTCGGATAGCGCAGATCTCAACTCACCTTGATTCGAAGTTGTTGCCCCCGAAAAGATACGAGGAGAAGGATAACTAAGTCGTGGCGGGCTATAACGGCAGGAAGTCGACAGAGGGGGGACCAACAGAAGGGGCGGGGGGGGGGGCAGGGGAAGTGGCGGCCCGAACCCAGCCCCCTGTTCAGTCGAAGCGAAAGTCAAGGTTCTGACCGAATGCGATCTGAGGGTGGATGGAGTGACGGACCTCCCGCGCTCCAAAAGATCTGATGATCGAGCAATGCGCGCCCATGACCACAGCGGACGAATGAGGGGATGGGAGGAGGGATTGGGCCCCCAAGGCAACGTCGCCTATGCGGCGCCCATGGCAATCCGAGAGCACCGATCGCCTCCACCGTCCTCCCCATCCATCCCCCCGCAGGTATCGGGGATGGACAGACCCCCCTTTAGTAAAACGTGGTTTAGTGAAAACGACCTGAGGCCCAAACCTGGCGGGCGCAAGCCTGGAAAAAACGGCCACGGCGCCCTCTCGAGAACCGAAAACGGACAATTCACTAATCGACGTGTCACTGTTGGGGGTTCTGTCCACCCCCGAAGGTATAGACGCGCATCGTTCGTTCATCGCCATCATCCCCATGTACTGCTGTATTTTTTGTGTTTTCTCCCAGCAACAAGGCGACCGTCGGCGCCCTGGCGGCGCCGCGCACAACCCCAGCGGCGTCCGCCAACGACAGCCCCCAGGAGCTGCTCAGCCTGCAATCTCCTCGGGCTCGAAGAACTCCCCCGCAGGCCTGTGGACGCGCTCCAGGTCGAGGAGCTCCTCGAAGGTGGCACCTGGCGATGGAACGACCTCGGCAGCGCCCGTCACGAGCCAGTCCCTCGCCTGTCTCCTCTGGCGCAGTCCTGCCTTCGAACGAAGCCAGGTTGCGAACGCGAAATGCGAATCTCTGCAGACGCACCTGGTCCCAGCACGATGGGACTCCATGAGCCAGGCCACCAGGTAGCCCAAGCCCAACCTCTTGCAAACCTGTGCTCGGTGGAGGGGGGGGTGGAGCTCCGGGTGGCACGGGGCCCGCCTCTTGGGCGATCCTGGGGGCGGTGGCGGGGGGGTCCAGAAGGACTTCGAAGCCCTCAACAGGCTTCACTGGGGCCCCGTCGGGCCGCGGTCGAAGAGTCTCAGAATGCTCATCCAGAAACGCCCTGAGGATTTCAAGCGCTAGTCCACGCACACGCGCCAAAAAAACAAGTTCGGTCGACTTCACGGGATCCAAGGGGCGCGTTACCAGGGTCAGACAGCTCGACAATCAACTGGAAACTCTGCCCGCGTCTACGCTTCCGAGAGAGGGGGTATGGAAGAGGAAGGGAGGCGGGGGATGATATGCAAAAAACTAAGACAGAGAGAGAGGGAGTGTGAGAGAGAGACAGAGAGCAAAAGAGAGAGTGAGAGAGAGAGAGAGCAAGAGAGTCAAAAGATCGAGAGTGTGGAGAGAGAGGTGATACATACTAGACAGGTTCACCCGTTCCCTTGCCTCTGGAGACCAACCGTGTCATGCCTGAGAAGCATCCCCCGTCGGGAGCGGTTCCTGGGGCTACCTGTGCCGAGCCTGTTGAGAGCCGCGGCGCCTGTTGGAACCTTCTGAGCAAGACAATAGACTGATGAGACGAGAGAGAGAAGAGATGAGGAGAGAGAGAGGAGAGAGAGAGAGAGAGAGAGATGGGAGAGAGAGAGAGAGAGAGAGAAAGAGAGAGAGAGAGAGAGAAAGAGAGAGAAAAGGAGAGAGACGAGAGAGAGGAGAGAGAGAGAGAGAGAGAGAGAGAGAGAGAGAGAAAGAGGGCAAGACAGAATAGATTGGCGAGAGAGAGAGCAGGGGGGGGAAAGAGCGAGACTCGAGAGAGAGAGAGAGACAGACAGAGAAAGAAAGAGAGAGAGAGAGAGAGAGAGAGAGAGAGAGAGAGAGAGAGAGAGAGAGAGAGGACGACAGATGGAGGCTCCAGGAGGAGGGGAGGGGGATGTGAGGAGTGAGGAGAAGCAGCAGCAGCAGTCATCGAGGATTTCACGCTGCCAACCTTGTTCAGGCGGCATTGCCCATGCGCTGGAACCACGCAATGAGCCCCCAAGGGATCCCCGCTGCGGTCGTAGACCAAGTACCCGAACTTGCCCACCTTCCAGTGCCTCCACGGGACACCGTCGCGGCCCTTGGGAAGACGAGGGGCCGCTGGAACTGGGGGCGGAGGTGCCGGGACATGCAGATCCGCAGGCAACGGCGGCGGCGGCACGGGGTCGTCGGAGTCCTGAGGCGCCCTCTTCACTCCTCCTCCCCGAGATTTAAGGAGCCCCCCTGTCGCCCCCCCCCCCCCCGAGATGAGGGCACTGGGTGATGGGGCGGGGGGGGGGAGGGGGGCTATTCCTCGTCCATCTCCTCCTCCTCCTCATCATCCTCGTCATGTTCCATTTATGCTGCCAAGTCCTTGTCGCCCTCCCCTCCTCCGAGAGACAGATCCTACACCTCATCTCCCTCTCTGTCTGTCTGTCTGTCTGTCTGTCTGTCTGTCTGTCTGTCTGTCTGTCTCTCTCTCTCTCTCTCTCTCTCTCTCTCTCTCTCTCTCTCTCTCTCTCTCTCTCTCTCTCTCTCTCTCTCTCTCTCTCTCTCTCTCTCTCTCTCTCTCTCTCTCTCTCTCTCTCTCTCTCTCTCTCTCTCTCTTTTATTCTCTCTCTCTCTCTCTCTCTCTCTCTCTCTCTCTCTCTCTCTCTCTCTCTCTCTCTCTCTTGGCCGAGTTGCCAAGCCGAAGCCCGATCGCGCGTGCGCAAGCAACCACCTCCTCCTTCGCCTCTTCTTCCTCTCGTCCTCCGCCTCCCCATCCTCCTCATCCTTCTCGTCACCATCCCCAAGTCCTCGTCCGAGCTGTCGACGCCGTCGCCCTTCGGGTCAGCGCCCGAACCAGAGCCCTCGCCCTCCCGGCGACGCCGACCTCGACCACCGCGCTCCTCCTCACCACCAAGGGCGCGTAAGCAACGTCGGGGATCACCGTCATCTGGAGGTCGCGGACCGCCGCCGCCGCCTCTCGGGGGACGGGGCTTAGGCGGGTAGATGAGCTGCTCTGTGGCGACGAGCTCCGCCTCCCAGCCCTCCCGCAACCTCACGCTAGTCACGGGCGCGCCCCCGTCGCCACGCTCACCGACTGGCGCCCATGGACACGTAGACCTCCATGATGCTGGCAACCGTCGGAGCGCATGCCCGAAACAAAGATGCGAACACGGTGACCGCCATGCGGGGCCCAAACGTCTGAGCGTCGAAGCGGGCGCGCAAGTGGGCGCCGTCGTCCTCCATCTGCGCAGCACACAGCATCGACATCTGGGGCCGCGCGCCCCGCCTGTATCCTGTCATGTGCCATGACTGCACAGACGTCGTGTCGTCGCCGTCAGCCACCACTATCAGGATGTTCACAAAGGAACCGCACGGCAGATCATCTGTAACCTTCTGGAAAGCCTTTGCCGTGGTCTTGAAAATGACAAGCAGCTCGGCATCATCAGTCGAACACAAGCCAGGGCGCTTCAAGCCGCATGGCTGCCGGTAGCCGAACTGCCGCTCATCGGGGATGCGACCCGACTCCTGAACTGAACGAACAACCTCCGACGCTGGTCATCTCTGAACAAGTCAGCGCACGCTGTAAACCCGGGCGCTCTCGCAGTATCTCGCGGCAGCTTCTTCTCGATGGCTGCCTTGAAAGACTCAACAGTATAAGGAGTGTGCTTGTCGCCGCCCTCGTCCAGCATCGTCCGCAGCTTCCGCGACTGGTGGCGGTGCAAGTCGAGATCGACCTCGGGCCCGACGTCGATGTCGCAGGTCTCGTCGGCTGAAACCTGTAACTTGCGGGCGTGGTCCGCCTCCGCTTCGGCCTGCGCCGCACCCTTCGCGGCCTGCGGTAACTCATCCCATTCCTTCAGACGATCTCTCCGCCAAGCCAGGTACTCGTCCCGCTTGAGCACTACGCCGTCCTCCTTCCTCTTCGCGTCGAGGGCGTTCAAATGGAGAACTGCGCCGCTGGCTGGCCTCGACTTCCGCTTGGGCGCATCTTTGGCCTTCGCCCTGATGTCGAGCCCCGCGTCGATCAGCTGGTCACGAGTACGAACGCGAGGATCTGGGCGACCGAGGCCGCAGTGGTAGTTCCTCGCCTGCCCCAGCAACGCAGAACTGCACGCGCGTTCGATGTCACGGCCCCCTCCAGGTTCCAAAGCGCGCCCTCACGCATCCCCCATCCTCCTCCACCTCCTCCTCCTCCTCCTCGTCCGCCTCCTTCTTCTCACCTCCTTCTCCTCCACCTCCTCATCCTCCTCCTCCTCGCAATCCTCCTCATCCTTCTCCTCCTCCTCCTCCTCCTCCCCCTCCTCCTCCCCCTCAGCATCACCATCACCATCCTCGTTCTGGCCCCCCTCTGCCCCTGCGTCGACAGGCTCGACAGGGGGGGCGGGGGGGGGACCAGGGGGGGGCCCGACGCGCTTCGGAACCCAGAAAAAACCTTCACCAGAGTCCGCGCACTGCCTCGTCAAGGCAAGCAAACGCTCGCAAAACATGCCAGTGGCCTGGAAGTTCTGGCACCAGGTCACAATCAAACGAAAGAACTCCTTGCTCTGCTGGAGCTGGTCCTGAGAGGGCACTAGTTTCCGAAGCTTACAAGAGAAATGCGGATCAAGGCAGCACTCTGGAAGCCCGTAGAACTCGGTGAAAACCTCCGACTGGCCAGCCTTGGAACACGCTGGGTGAGCCATCTGTGCCCATCGAAACGGGAAGTGCTCATACTGTGAGAATCTCCATTTGACAGCCGTGAGGAACATCGCACCAACCGAACGGGTCTCCGCAATGAATGCCGCACGATCGAGGCCATCGAAATATTCCAAGACAGGCCCCAACAATCCACGGTCCACGTCCGACATCATCTTGCAAAGGGACGCACAACAAGTTCTGATCGGATTGACGCTGGTCGTCGAAGAGGTGAGGTCGTACAAGATCTTCCCAGTTCCATCCCGGTGCTGGAGGGTTGACATCATTCGTTCAATCGGGCCTCCAAGATAGCAACATTGAATGATGCGGTTGCGGCGAGTCGGCTCAGTCAACGCCAACCGTCCACGATAGGCTTTCCGCTTCAACTTGAGCCGCATCCTCTCGACCTCCCCAGCCCTGGCGTGCTCGCTGTTGGCAGGTCTGTCGTTGGCCCACCGCGGGATAGCCGCGACATAAGTCCGAACCAACACCTCGTGGACCAAAATGCCGAACGAGATCTTGCCAGCGGCTGCCCCGCACCTGGGCCAGCTCTCTTCCTCCGTCTCCTCCTCCTCCCTCCCCCTCTCCTTCTTCCCCGCCTCCTCGCACTCCCCCCTCCACCCCCCCTGCTCCTCTTCCTCCTCCTCCTCCTCCTGCCCCTCCTCCTCCTCCGCCTCCTCCTCCTCCCTCTCCTCCTCCTCCACATCCTCGTCCTCCTCATCCACCTCCTCCTGCTGCTACTCATCCTCCCTCCTCTGCGGACCTGCTCCAATCCTTCTCCACCGGGGTGTCCGCGCCCACCCCTAGAAGGAGGTCGAGGTGGACCGCGGCCGCGAACAGGCCGTCTATCGACTCCTGGCGGTCCGCGCAGCAGCTCGGGCCAATGCAATGGTGAGCCACCATCGGAACGCGCCAGTCGCCATTCCACATGGTGAGGAATCGATTCAATGCACGGCTCAATGGTGAATCTGATACATATTCTGATCCGTAATCGCGACCAGCAGCAGCAATCCACCCTTCCCGTCGGAAGATGGTATGTTCAGCTAGCTGACGCTGCTTGCGCTGCATGGCCGCATCAGGAGGGCCATGAATGATGACGAGCTCGCTGCTGATGAGATCTTTCAACGTCTGCTGCAATCGGCGTTGGTTCTCTGGACGGTTGCAGGTCCAATATACCGAGTAGCAATCTCCGATGCAACGTTGCTGCCCATGACTGATGCACCTGTGCGCCTGGTGGGCGCCGCAGCGCCCTTCAATGCCGAAGGCA